ATTCGCGTATTCTTGGCGGCTTCACGTCGCGTAGACGCGTTGTTCCCGTTTGTTGTCGGTTTTTTGTCCCGCGACAAAGGGTTCGCAAGGCGCGAATATGACTAGGCTTGTCATTCGCTGGTGTTTCAGTTGCCTCATAGCGAGTGTCGGGAATAGTTGTGTTTTTTCCACTTCTTTTAAATTGTTTTAGTTTTACATATATATGCGTAATTATAAACTGCCAAAGCGCAACGTAGCCCTGCAGCAGTAGTAGCAAGTTCACCGTCCATACTCGATCCGCGCCGCGATTGCACGCCGTGATCCGCGCGTGAGTCTGGAGAGGGCATTAGGATAGGACATGGAAAAGCTTGCGTTGGGCTTTCGTGTCAAAGAATTACATTTTTGAAGTCAGGAACCAATTTGTTGACAGCTCACACCAATAGATTAAGCTTTTTAGAGTGAGTGAGTGAATGAATCAATAATCGGTCCGTTTTGAGAGAAAACCCTATCACGCATCCTAACGTCCACTAGAAGATCTGTGTCAACTTGTCAACCTTCCAATCTGAAAAGGCGTCTGCTTCAATACTGCTTGGGATCATTGATAAACAAGATATTTTTTATGAAATTTCAAATAAGAGAGATCTTTTAACAACACGTTTAGGTTCAAAATGATTTGCAAGGCTGCGGGTCAAATCTATATAAACGCGGCTTTCTAAACACTGCTGAACTTACCAAAAAATCTGGTTTCTCCTTCATTTCATTCCAGTACTTTTCCATCAATCCTATCTGGCAATAGGCGGTTTCTGGTCGTTTGATCAGCGGCATGTTCATTATTCCCATAGAGAAATTATTTTCCAAAACCGCTGTCTTTTCCATGCTTGGTATCGAGAACAGTGCAGTTATCAAGACGCTGAGGAAATCCGGAATCTCGCATTGTCGCTGAAAAGAAGGTTTATCAAATAAGACAGCACAATGCGCCATCTCTTAATGCGATGGTGAAAACCGCAAATTGTCTGTTCCGCATATGATCTCTAGATGTCGCCGATTCTGGTCCTAATGTAAATACCGTCTACTCGCCATTGAACAAACCAGTAATATAGCTTTCGGTCATCCGATTACAGAAGGCCAACGATGGACAGCTGTTCCGTGCTATTTAATAATAATAATAATAATAATAATAATAATAATAATAATAATAATAATAATAATAGCTTTATTGTCCAACAGTTTCCCATTTATAGGACAATTTATAAACATAATACAAAAGCAAAAAAAAGCGAAAAAAAGCGAAAAGAAAACAACAAATGCAACACAGGTATAAATTTGTAACATGAGCTATTGGTCCGAATAAGCCTTAGCTGCCTTTAGCAGGTAATTAACATTTGTCGTAAATATATCACAGTAACATCCAATTCTGTTTAAGTTAGAGCACATTACATATAACGGTGACTTGAGAAGAATGTTTGTCCTAGCTCTAGGAAGCCCGAATATTTTATGATTGCGAGATGCAAACGTTGGAGTACGAAACTTGATCTGTTCCAGGATCATGGGGCAATCAATTAAATTGTTGATCATTTTGTAGCCAAATATTATTGAGGCACAGTACCTACGTTTTTTCAAAGTCAACATGTCTAAGCGACTACATAGTTCCTCATTACTTGTACCTCTCTCTGGATATGTCCCATCAATCCTAAACAGAACAAACTTCATAAACTTCCGTTGTACTCTTTCAATAGCTGTGCTATAGCATTCGTAGTAAGGGCTCCAAATAATACTACAATATTCGACTTTGGATCTAACATAAGCATAATATAATAGCTTAATAGACTTTATGTTATGAAAATTCCTGCAATTCCTTACTATGAAACCATAAGCCGCCAATGCCTCTGATGCTTTTTTTATTCATACTAAAAGCTAACTTTTGATCATAGATTATACCTGAATCACGTACATCAGAACATCTTTCTAGCACAGACCCATCAACAGAGTACGGATATTCGCAGACATTAATTTTCCTGGTATAGCTAACTATTTTACACTTCCTCAAATTAAGCTCCAACTTGTTTTCTACCCACCAAGACAGCACAAAATTTAATTGGTGTTGTAGCTTGATACAATCATCAGGAGTATTTATCTGCGAATAAATTTTCAGGTCGTCAGCAAAGCATAGGCGTTCACATTCAACTGAGTCACAGAGGTCAGTAATAAATATTAAAAACAGTAATGGTCCCAGGTTGGACCCCTGAGGAACTCCAGAAGGTGCCAAGTAGGTCTCAGATTGGAAGCCATTATAGCTAACAAATTGTCTACGATCGGATAAGTAAGATTTCATCAACTCCCTAGCATCATCTGTGAAACCAAGTGCACCTAACTTATTTAATAAAGTTTTGTGGTTAATTTTATCGAAAGCCTTCGAAAAGTCGGTATAAATAACGTCAACTTGCTCATTACTATCAATGGCTTCCGAGAGGTACTGCATTATTATAAATAGATTTGTGGTTGTTGAACGATTAGCGACAAATCCGTGTTGATGCAATGACAGCTGACGCTGGACGGCAGTGTAAATGCGACTGTGCAAGACTATTTCAAAGACTTTCGAGAACATGCATAATATAGAGATTGCCCTGTAATTCTCAATATTTGACTTATCCCCACACTTAAACACTGGATAGACCTTAGCGATCTTCCAAATATCTGGAAATCTTTTTGTTATAAGACAAATATTAAATATCCTAGTTAGAACACCAACAAACACTTCCACACAATCTTTGACTATAAAGGACGGGATGCCATCTAGACCAGATGTCATCTTATCCTTTAGTGATTTAATGGCCTTCCTGACTTTATTTTCCTCAATTGGATGAAAATGGACAAATAAATTACTATGATTTAGTGAGGCATTATTATGGGGCTTGTAATAATAAACCAAGTGCACCTAACTTATTTAATAAAGTTTTGTGGTTAATTTTATCGAAAGCCTTCGAAAAGTCGGTATAAATAACGTCAACTTGCTCATTACTATCAATGGCTTCCGAGAGGTACTGCATTATTATAAATAGATTTGTGGTTGTTGAGCGATTAGCGACAAATCCGTGTTGATGCAATGACAGCTGACGCTGGACGGCAGTGTAAATGCGACTGTGCAAGACTATTTCAAAGACTTTCGAGAACATGCATAATATAGAGATTGCCCTGTAATTCTCAATATTTGACTTATCCCCACACTTAAACACTGGACAGACCTTAGCGATCTTCCAAATATCTGCAAATCTTTTTGTTATAAGATAAATATTAAATATCCTAGTTAGAACACCAACAAACACTTCCACTCAATCTTTGACTATAAAGGACGGGATGCCATCTAGACCAGATGTCATCTTATCCTTTAGTGATTTAATGGCCTTCCTGACTTTATTTTCCTCAATTGGATGAAAATGGACAAATAAATTACTATGATTTAGTGAGGCATTATTATGGGGCTTGTGAGTGACATAGACGCTGAATGCGTTTACTATATCCTGAGGCTGATCTATAGAATTATTTTGAAATCTTATTATCCCTGGGATTCGTGATGTGTTGTTTTTGGAGTGAACGTATGACCAAACAGCATTGGGGTTAATTGTTAAAGAATTCTGGATATTTTCAATATATTGATCATACGCTGATTTTTAATCTGGTTTTTTATCAAGCGGCGCAAACGTTTGAATTCTTGTAGATCAACAAAAGCAGACCTGTTGATTTTTTTCCTAAATTTAGCTTTAAGTTTAATGTTCTTAATAATAGCTGAGTGAAACCAAGGAGTGTATAGGCGAATGTAATTCTTATACAGAGGTATGTGCCTGTCAAAGATTTGGAAAATGTTGCCATAAAATACATCAACAATATAATTAACATCGGAAGAGCAGAATAAAACATCCCAGTCAAATTGAATTAGCTCTTGATACAGGTTGACAAAGTCAGCCTTTCTGTAGTTATATCTTACTATGATTATTTGGCAACTCTTCAGTATAGTTGGCCGTCTGTGGTGGGACAAACGAACGATATATTACTAAAAAAAGGTTTCACGTAGATGTTATTGGTAAAAATTGTCAATCTTTCGATTAACCTAAAAATGTTTTGTATAATTAGCCATAAACTTCATTTCACTGCCCAAATAGGCCATATTATATTTTTTACAAAATCATTAGAAATGGCTTAATAATGAGTCTTCAAAGATGCCATTTGTCCTTTCAGTATTGATACCATGGGTTGCTTGCATAACTAAAACCCTGAGGATAAAAATCTGACACATTTGACACATTTCAGGCGTTTTATGACATTAATGGTAATGTGATTGTTTTCTGTAACATCTGAAACTGTGCTTTACATGTCGTTAATCGTCCATCCCAAAAAACGATCTAAGACAGACCCTTACAACTGCAGGCCTATAGCTCTGCTTTCTTTTATAAGTAAAGTGATGGAGAGGTGCATAAATCACGAGCTTCTGGACTACCTCGAACGTCACGACTTGATTAGCGGCAGGCAGTGTGGTCTCCGGCACCAGCGATCCTCAGGGGACCTCCTAGCTTACGTCACGCAGTTCGTCGTCCACAACACGAAGTCACGTATCTCATTTTTTCCAATTTTACAGTAGAACGCTTTAAATATTTTCACGAGATTTGAGTTGTTGCTGACAAAAAAGTATTATTGCTACATAATTGAATTTGTGGATATATCTGCTCATGTTTACGAGATTTTCAAAAATGAGCAACATTTAACCTTTTTTTCATTTTATGTGTTAAAAATTTCCAAAAAAAAGTAGATACGCCGTTTTGTGAAATTGAAGGGTCGTAATTCGTAGAATAAAGAATTAGTTACGTCCGGGTTATATTAAAGTGATGAAAAATAAGAACACGTAAAATTTAAAAAAAAATTGGTTTATTACAAGACAAAATGGTTACAAAAGGGGACCACTGAATATTATCGCGAAATAAGCAATCGCAGTATCTAAAACTATTCAATTCCCTATTAAAGTTAAATATGGCAGCACAAACAAAAGCTCACTCAAATAATAATGATCTAATAAGATCTGTTGAATATGAACAAAATAATAATTAGTTTATCTATTACTCATGAGGAGGATTTAAATAGATTATTTGGTATTCTTGTAAACAAACTACCGGTATATCTTCTTCACACAGCAACTTCAAATCCATATTTTTTCGTAGTAATGCGTCTTGGCTCTGCACTCAGAACTTCGAGGGGAATATCTTTAAAATTAGTTTTTTAAGTCTAAAAAAGCTGTATTCGTGCTGAAGGTGAAGTTAAAAAGATAGATACGTTACAGTGCGTATACTGATAAAGTTAAAACTACAATTCTACGAACTGGCGTAACTTGAGTTAAGCTCCCTTGTGAAATTTAATTTTCTATTAAAATGATATGTCTAATATTATTTTTCTATAACTCTGAAGGTATTCGAAACTGACTTATGCCACTCCGTGATATTGAAGAGCAACCTTTTTCAAGTAATAAAATCGACTTCACTCAATTTTAGTATTTTCGTTAGATAAGTGTGGCATGCTGCACTCTTATGCAAACTTCAATTCTAAGGCCTCCGAGAGAAGCTTTGCAGATGGGTGGTTGACTTTCTCTCTGGCCGCAAGATATCGATCGTAATTAATGGGTTCTCCTCTTCATCCCAGAACGTCAACGCACGGATCGGTCTTGGCTCCTCCTTTTACATAGCAACGACCTCCTCCCCTGTACGACCAATCCAATCGACAGATTTGCTGAATATCAGCACTACATGCAGGAATCCAGAGCTGGAAAAAAGACTAGCAGCGACTTCCTCTCTGACGAGAGACCTGGAGGTTTTCACTGGTTGGGGACGCAACAATCTTGTACAGTTTAATGCTTCCAAAAGACAGTACTGTACATTGATGAACAAAAAGCGTCCTAGCGTTCATCAGGTTTCGATCGATGGCCGAGTTCATTTCGCCTGGGCTGAGTCCAGATCACCGAGGACTTAATCTGGTACGAACACATGTCGTCACTCACATGTTTGGGGTGCTGCCTTCCCGGCTACATTATCCATGCTCGATGCTGTCCAAAGAAGAGATTTCCGACTGGTCGAAGACTCTTCTCTTACAGGCAATCTCGGGACTCTTTCGGACAGGCGGGCCGTCGGCTCTATTTTACCGCTAGACCAACGGGCTTTGCCTGCCAGACAGACCCACCTGCCGCCTCCCATCCTAACCGGGTGGAATTTCGTACATCCACAACTGGTCAATACTACCGCTCCTTTGTCCCTGGGGTATTGAATTCTACTAACCTTAGGCTGTTCAAAAATCGGATTAACAAAGTGTTCAGGGCCCTGAAGTTTATGCTTCTGCCTACGTGGCTGCTTCGGTGTAAAAAAATACTCATCTGGCCAATAAAATACGTGTATTGACAGAATATTCTTCACTTCACACGACCATGATCTTCTTAAGTACAATTTCAGTACGAGTATAATTTATTTATTTGTAGATTGTGATTGAAACACCGAAAAAGATCATGCCAATACATGTGGTTTTATTAGTCAGACAAGCGTGGGAGATTATGGTTACTTTCATCCAATCTTACAATGTTTTTGACGTACACGGAGCCCATAGTAAGTTATATCACCGTCTTATTTTGAAATCCCTTCTCAAATAGGTTGGAAAGTCTGAATAATTTAAGAATATGCACCTTTGATTATCAATATTACACTAGAAATCGTTTACGATTATGTTTAGTTTCTCTACAAAGCTATTTTTTAATCAATGGTACCTACCTTTTGCATATGCTTTCCAACAGCTCTGGAAACTGCAGTAAGCATCACACTAGAAAAGGAACTTCCAGCCACTTTTCTCTTTATTTGCTTCACAGTATTCATAAGATCTTCACCCTCTTCTTCGACTGAATAAACTGCAAACTTTTTGCCGGACAGCTTAGGTCCATGCAAGCAGTTGCAATCTATCACAAACAGTTGGTTTGCAAATACTATTGGAAAATGCACCATAAAGGTTCCGATGCATCTAGCTGTCTGAACTATACTTTGCCATCCTGACTTTTTGGATATTTTTGTTTTCGAAGTATCGAACTTTGATATCAAGTCTTTCAAATTTCGTTTCAGCCCCTCTTGATCGTCGGCAAAATTTTGTAATAGGAATGTCGTTAAATTTATACCATCTGCTACTATATGGTCCACTCTGAATATCACAGCATATTGGTATGTGTCAGGATCAACGTGCTTCAATGACTTTTGTACTACGAGAACTTCAAAAAGTCCCAAGTTGTCTTTGGGCATTGGTCTGCCAGCAAGATCACCCAAAATATCTTTCAATTCCGTCTCAACTAAATAATTCTTTCCATTATCGACAGTTAATTTATTACATATATCATCGATGGTAAGTTGGTTGTCCAGATAGTATGCATACCCCACGAAAAATTTGCAAATGCTGGTCAGTTTGTGTGCATTACTTCCCGAAGTTGCTCCATTGAAACACTGCTTGATATAGTCAAAATACTCTTCTGGGTTCGAAATTTTCGACTGTTGTATTGTGAGGATATTTATAAGGGGGTTTGTGATATCTTCTATTTTCCACATGACGTCTTCACTGTCAACCAGTCCTCCGTAGTTTTTGCCATGCTTCAGTTTCAGTATCACTCTAGCTGACGTCCTTAGAATGATAAATAAGAGCAGAATTGGCGCTACAATTGTCAGAAGTATCAGCGATAAAAGGAATAATAGAACAGCTAGTGACTCCTTTGTAGCTACTTTTGGTGGTATCACATATTTGGGTCCAGTCTGTAAATAAGAAAAATGGTAACGTTATTATAATAATAAGATTATGGTTCTTAACGAATTTTAGCTCAGTCAGACTAGATAGAAGGAGCAAGTCTATGATTTGTTTGTCTCCAAAATCTCATAGTCTGTAGTCAGTTCATACTACAAGTCAATCAGGATTAAGCTGCCAGTTTGACAGTTGTTGACAGTTCACATGAAATTCGTCTTTTTCTGCGAAAAGATATAAAAGTGCGTGGGTTCCATACAGTTCTAGTGTTTTAGACAACTGTTGGAAATGGTGAAGACTTCAGTGGATTGCATGGTGGTAGCACAATTATCAAATGCTCTATTAGATCGAAAGCAATTGAAGATATCAATGTTTCCTTTTGCAGCGTGAAAGCATACCCATAATCACATGACTCAATACAGTCACAGTAAAAAAGGAACAGTTTTGCGACCAGTTCAACCGTCTTTTTTTAAAAATAGTATAAAAAAAATTCTCCTATAAAGTCCTAAATATTGTTTAATTGAACCTGAATACAAAAATAGAGAAATGCCACATTGGTACTTTTCGAGCAAGTATTAACAAAATAATATCAAAGTCTAAGACAAAAAACGTTTGGAATTTTCAAAACTATGGATAAACTCTTAACGATTATATCATACTAGTACAAACAAGTCCGTAAGATCATCAGAAAATTACTTAGATTATAATGACTTTGTAAAACATGGTGATCCACCTTAATATATACTAAGTGACATGTAAATCCGAACACCCAGTTTAAATGGTTTTATTTTAATAAAATTTTGTATAAGTACTTAATGAAGCATAATAAGTAAATGATAAAAATTTCAAAATGATTGCACTGCTTTAAAGCCCTTTGACCTTTAATAATGTGTGGATGCACCCTGATGTGCGACGCATTCTCCAACGCGATTAGGCATGCTTCTGATCAGGTGGTCAATGTCCTCATGTGGTATCTCATTCCAGGCAACCACCAACTCCTCTCGAAGTGCTTCTAGAGTCTGAGGAGGACGTTGCAAATTGAGCAATCTCCTACCCATCATATCCCACACGTGCTCAATTGGGGATAAGTCGGGAGATCTTGGTGGCCATGGTAACAATGTGACATCATTATGTTGAAAGAAGTCTATTGTGACCCTTGCAACATGTGGTCGGGCATAATCTTGTTGGAAAGTTGGATCTGCCAGGGTGTCAAGATAGGGTAAAAGATGGGGTTCTAGAACTTCGTGGATATAACGCTGCGCGTTCATGTTACCTCTGATGAAGATTAAAGGTGACCTGGAACCATAAGCTATAGCACCCCAAACCATAACTCCAACAGTGTGATGAACATGTCTTTCAACAAAAACTGTGGATTCCTCCTTTCACCACGTCGCCTTCTAACCCTGGCACGACCATCGTGCATGCCTAAACAAAATCGAGACTCGTCACTAAAGACAATACTGTTCCATTCCTCATCCCAGAGTGACCGTGGTCTACACCATTCAAGGCGATTACGTCGGTGTTCTCGAGTTAAAGGGAGGACCCAGTGTGGCCGGTATGAAAACAAGCCAAAACTTCACATTCGTCGGTAAACACTGCGCATGCCAATAGGTCTTCCGTGTTCTGCAAACCATTCATTTGCAATGAACCTGTAGTGGAGAAACGGTCCCTTAAGGCCAATAATCTTAGGCGGCGATCTTCACGGTCTGTTGTTCTACGGCGGCGTCCAGTGCCCCTTACTCTTTGAGTACGGCCTTCTCGAAGCCATGCCTGACAACACCTAACCACAGTGTCTACACTTCTTTGCACTCTAACTGCAATTGCCCGAAAAGAAAGTCCAGCTTCCCGAAGTCCCACTATACGGCCCCTATCAAACTCACTAAGTTGACGAAATCGTACAGGTCTCCGTACTCTAGGCATCGTAACCGATCGTAAAGGATGTCAAGAACCAAAATCCGCCAACGTTGATTCTTTACTGCGGCTGAAATATTCATTTTTAGAGCGTTAGTGAATTAAAAAAAAGCAGTATAAAAACCGGAATGTCCAACTGATAAGGCTGAAAATTTTTTCACTTGTTATTTACAGTAAGATAAATACATTCACCAACTTTTATTAAAATAAAACCATTTAAACTGGGTGTTCGGATTTATATGTCACTTAGTATATTAAGATAATTTTGATTTATTTCAGTCCACTTGTTATTTCTTTGAGTGCTCAGTCAAAAAAGTTTGCTAATAGGATTGTATACCTACCAGCAACATTGAGAAATGAAAAGTACTAGAGACACACCAATTTTGTTGATTATACTGAAAAGATCCAACTGGAACTTTAACTTTGAGCCTGATCTACTTCAATTTTGAATCTAAGAGTTCTTAGGAAAGTTATTTACTTCCTCGTTTTCAATAGTAATTTTACGTTTTGAGCACGCCGAGTACGATTGTTTACTGGAATACCTCTCCAGAGAAAAAAAATGCGTATGTATTGATTTGTCACTTTGGCATGCAGTGAAAGACAAATGAGATAAATTCGTTGCTCAACGAAGCAAAAATAGATATAAGGGGGAGAGCAAGGATATATTTTGGAGAGAGCTAGAGGAAGTCAAGGAAGAGAAAGGGCAAAAAGAAATACAACATTGACATTTTCGAAATGACTGAAATTCTTTAAAACAATCTTGAAGGTTACGTTCTATTATTGATTAATGTATTCTACCCAAAAATTGTATTGTGGCGTCCAAAAGGCGAATAGAAGATACTAGCGTTATCTGTAACACAAAACACAAAGATGAATTCAGGAATATACTTTGTCTCTCTATTGCCTATGTTAATTGGATATCTTCAAGCATTGATTATCGTTTTTCCACTGAAGATACCCAATTAAAATGGACATAGAGGAGTCCCAAAGGGATTGAAGATCCTAGCGCCATCTATGCAACAGTAGCAAAACCAAACACTCTTTTCAAAGTAGACTCCAAACACTCTTTTCAAAGTAGACTCCTACGTCATTTTTTGCGTTATGCTATTGTTTCAGTGATGGCGCTAGTATCTTCCAGATCCCTTTTTGAACGTCGAAATATATTATATGGAGTTATCTTCAAGTAGAATACGTTATTCAATGGTTCTTTGAAAAAGTAGTTCCGGGTGACTTGAAAAATCACGATATTTGATTTTGCTCACAGTACGAGTCGCGGGCTGGAACGTTTAACAAATTGCTGGGCTGTGCGGTCTACAAATTTAAGCTTGTTCAGTGTTATGATGTGGACACACAAATACGGGATATGGAGATCCCTGATTAGAATGAAACGTGGAAAAACGTATAATGTGCTCTCCATTCATCTTACCTCTTTGACAGATTTATCTACAAGCACTGCAGCAAAGGTCATAAGCAAATATTTTCTTTACCCTAACAGACGTATGTCCAGCTGTTTGGCGCTCCACAAGGCATACTTGAAGTAATTATTTATCACCTGTCTGTGACATATTTCGGTAGATATATTCTTGAAGAACACCGAATCTAAGAAGAGTTACGCGTTAATTGGACAAAATTAAATACATATGTCGATGTAACTTCTGAATTCTATCACTTTGTGACTTCCTCAATTCCCCGTTGTTGTTAACAAAGATAGATAAAGAATTAAGAAATCGGAGAATAAATCATATTTGAATTCTTACAGGAGTAACCATAATTCCAGAATATTGGCAATATTTCACATACATCTATCAGTTATATACATATTTACATAAGAATGATATGAATGAAGCTTTATATAAAAATGTGTTTGCAGCTCCTCATATGGAGATACAGGTTAGATATCTCCTAAATAGCATCCCGGAAAACGGATCATCCTTAAATAGGTTTTCAATCATATAATAATTTTCTAAGCGATAAACTGTACTGTACTAACATAGTACATTTACCTACCGGAATCAGATACAACAGGTTTCAGTATCAAGTTCTTACTATTCTCTAGTCGTAACTGACAACGATCTTTTTTGTTGCATTTGGCACGAAAATGGTACCATATGATCTCATCCAACCCCAAAGTTGCACATAGGTTCTTATATGGTCTTTTGGTGTTGGAAGAAAAAGGTGTCTGAGCGAAGTCGTCTGCCTTTGAGTTACAATATTAGCCCATAGTACTTATACTTTCCCAAAATGGGTCAATCCGTGCATAACTTCATCGGACCACTGATTTTCGATATAACTTCAAACGACCTACATTTTGACATAACCTTGCTTGAAGTCAACGACGTAAAATTTGTCACATTTGTCATCCGTGAAAACATGCTGAAAACCATCGTTCAAAAAAGTATTCTCATTAGATTAAATATTTTTAAAAATACATCAATCTTATCTTACAGGCCAGCACTTTAATTTAAAACAATCCTTCCCTGATCCTCATCCTAGCCTATCGGTTCAGGAGTCCCACAAGGAAGTGTTTTAAGACCCAGCCTATACCTTCTGTATACTACAAATCTGCCAACTGCAAATGATATATGCGTAGCAAAATGTGCAGTTGAACAGCTATTTTGGCACCCTATGAGAATCAAAGCTAAAGGCCTCTCCGACGCAGTGAGTTTGAAGCCATTTACAAGGGTTCAGCTGCTTCGAAACTGCCACTGCATTTTTCAATATTTTTGAATGAAATTCATACAGTATATTCCGAACACAATTGCCCCGGGTGCTAGCGGAGCACTTTTTGAAATTTTGTTTTTGGTTATGGTGGGTTGAAATACCAACTTTTCTTGTTGAACTTCGAGATTTTTTCAAAAAGAGCCTAGTGGAAAAAATGAAAAAGTGGCTCGAAAGCACCCTGTAGGTTTACACCTCTACAAATTGAATTTTGCACAAATTTAGTCTATTGCTTCTTGCTGCTACCCCAAATAACGCGGTGGTATGTAATTGGGTGACGCTATTTCATATAGTATCGTGTATATAAGTCATTCTGCAAATAAGTGTTCATAATCGTGATCGCTGATGCGAAGTAAATGTTCGTAACTAGTTACGTAAATGTAAC